TCGAGAGGTCATGCCGCACACATATGGAGTCAATCCACACTCAACATGGACATCATGTTTACACAGCTCCCCAAAATAATTGTTGACTCCACTTGTGTGCCTAATCTGGCTCGCTGATCTTCCACTCTGCCTTTCTTCAGACCTCCTTTTGAGGCTTTCGGACTCGGCTGCTATGCAGAACTGTCCTGTGTCTAGCAGGCGGTAAAGAGGACCAGCTGAACCCTTCACTTTCGTCAAACAATCTGCGACCACCGATGGGTGGTCGACCCAACGCACTGCCCCGTTCAAAGCCAGCAAGTCCTGTCGTATGATCTGGACTTCAATTGCAGTTCGTTTGTCCTGGCCTCCAATTGTCTCCTGTGACAGGTAGTCGTAGAGACTCTTGGCGTCGATGATCGCCAAGCATTCTTGTAGGCTGCTTTCGCTGGACATCATGGCCACTATGTCTTCTCTTTTCATCGTGGCTGGCCATTCATGAATGTTGAACTGCTCGTTCTCCAGTTCTTTGAACAGAACCTTCATCCACATCAAATCTCCTAGGCCTCTGGCCATTGCTTGGGTTTCGGCAGCTAGCGTCGAGTTGACGATCCTTTGCAATCGTCCACTGCGCCACCAAAGCAGATTTGCTTTGACCTTTTCTCCACTTTTCAATCCTGGCTCATGTGCCAGGATCATTTGACCTCCTTGAGAGTGGAACTCGTCATTTCCGAAGGACGCGTCTGACACCACCGCCAGCTTCAATTCCTTCAAGGGCTGGATCTTCACTGTCAGGCTGGACGTCTTCTTCAAGTTGCGGACCACTTCATTGAGGGAGCTCAAATCTTCTATCCTCAATCAAGTCAATCTGGAAGACATCAGACTCGAGGGACCTGCTGCATCTGGCCTTCCTTCTTTCGATAGCCAGTTCAAGGATCCGCACACTGCTCTTGCCTTGGATCTTTCATCTTCGTTCACTTCTTCCTTCTTGAGGCTTCAATCTCTTCCAGTTTTTTTTCTACGAACTTCTCCATGTCTATGAGAAGAGTTCCATCTTCTTCTTGGCGGAGTCTTCGGCCGTTGAAACTTCCTCCTTGCTTCTCTTCCTTCAGGTTGATCCATTTCCCGAAGGTAAAGGTGGATCTGAGTTCTTTCATCTTCTCCTTGAAGATCCCCTTTCCACATGACAAAATGTCATCCACTTCTACTGCCAGCATTCCTGACAGTCCCCCCTTTTCATACAATTTGAAAATGCATGGGTCCAGGCGACTGGCCTGGAATCCGAGCTTGTTCAAAGCGCCCACCAATGTTTTCCTCCAGTGCAAAGGTGCGTCCACCAACCCATAGCATCCGGTTATGATTTGGCAGATCTGTTCGGGGATGTTGGGGGCGCATCCCCGAGATTCCTTCTGGCGGTTGTCTAAAGAACACTTCCTTCTCTCTTGTCAAAGGGGAACTCTGGCAAAATGCACTCTTCAAGTCCCCAATGCCGATCTCCATTCCTTCATTCACTGCAAGTTGCAGCATCACGTTGAGGTTCATCGTGTTGACTGTAGGGCTAAACCTTTCTAGCTCCAAGATGTCTGGGTCTTTGTCACCCCTGATGCATAGCCTGCTCTTCTTGCTTGGAGGTTCTTTGGGTTGTTCCGCAGGCTTGTATCTTCTGGCCATCCTTGAAGGAAGGATACGATTCGATTTTCCTTCTTCTTGAAGTGCCTTGGTCACCTTTCTTGATTCTTCTAGGCTGAGCACTTTGATGGCCCCGCTTTCTTTGATCTTTGTCCATTCAGACAGATCTGCTGCTTTCCATTCTTCTTGATCTTCTCTTGACTCTTCTCTCAGGTCAACTTCTTGACTCAAGTTACCTCCTCCTTTCTTTTCCGCGGCCCAGACTTCAACTGTTTCATATAGAGTGTTTTTCACCTCTTCTTCTTCTTCTTCGAGGATGTCTTGCCGTTCCACTCGCTTGGCTGAACTGCTCTTCCTCTCTTCTCTTCCTTCCACCATTCTTCTTCCTTTAGGGTTCTTGCCTCTTCTTTTTCTTGAAACCACATAGTGGTTGTCCGTGAACCAAACTTCTTCAGAGGCAAAGGTGAGTCGTGAACTCCTTGTGGGGAGAAGAGAGCCTTTCTTTTCGTGACATGGTGTCTTCGAATCACTCTTCTTTCTTTATCTATTTCCCAATAGTCTTTCTTGGGAGCTTTCATCAGGCCTTTCATCCTCTCTCTTCTTTCTTTCCATTCTTCTGCCTCTACTTCTTCTTCATCAGACTCGTTTCCTTCAATCATCAAGCTCCATTCTTGGTAGTATGGGTTTTGGTCAGCTTGGTTGGGATGATACCGGACTGGACCAATTCGTGGAGGCAACCCATCCAATTGGCGAGCTCTCAAGTTCGATTCTATCATACTTTGTCTGAATTGTTCACACACTTCTTCTGCTTTTGCTTCTTTGGCTCTTTCATCTTGTCTTCCATCTTTGTAGCTTTTGGCTTCTTCTTCTTCTTCCTCCTCAGGCTCTTCTATGCTGCTTGCTTCTTCTCCTTCTCCTCTACTTCGGCTCCTCTCTTCTTCTTCTCCGGTTCGAGAGGCTTCTTCCTCTCGGTTCTCTGGAGGTTCAGTGGGAGTGAGTTCTTCTTCTTCTTCTTCTTCTTCTTCTTCTGCTTCTTCTTCTTCTTCGTGTTCTTCTTCATCCTGCTCCCTGGCCTTCTCCTCTTCAATCCTCAGTCGTTTGATTCCTTCTCTGAGCCTGGTTCTTCATCATCTTCTGGATGTCTTTCTCCTCTGAGGTCTTTGTACCCCTTTCGTGAAGATAATCTTTTGAACTCCTCCACCAGCTCCTTACAACTTCTCATCACTTCTTCTATGCCTTGCTTCTCCACGTTTGTTGCTATCCGGCATTGTTCTCGAGCTACTCTCCATAGTTCCCCGAACATCGACACCCACAAGCTGGAGCCGTCGATCGCGATCAGCGTTCCTGGACCTATCCAGGTTGCCTTGTTTGGGGTCTTCTCATTGCTCGGAAGTGATCCTTCATGCTTCCTCTTCTTTTGTCGAGGAACTCGATAGACATACACATAGTCTCCTGTGGTGAACTCTTGAGGCACTCGGGCTCTTCCCTTTTCGATTCTTCTTTTTGCTTCTTGGGCGTTGTGTTCAATGAATGCCTTCTGAGCTATTCTTCTCATCTCATGAGCCCTTTCGATGTCATCGACCACTCCTCCATCAAGTAGCCCAGGATCTATGACGTCGTCTCCGAGCAAGGTGCTTGGGACCTTGGGCCACTGGCCTATCTGTCTCTGGACCGGGGAGAAGCCGCTTCTATTGCTGAATCTGTTCTTTGTCATCTCCACTTCTTGCATCAGTCCTTGGACGTGATCACTGTTTCTTCCCTCGCCTTCTCCAGCAGCTCTTTATAGTGTTGTCCATGCCGCTCTGTTCTTCCGTTTTGCCATGGAGCCCGAGCTGCGACGCTTTGAGTCACGATTCCTTTGGCTGCGGCCAGTTGCATGAGCTTTGATGAAAACTCCCTTCCAGCGTCCACTACCAAGACCTCCGGCAGCCCGAACGTTCTTCCCCATGTTGACCACAGAGTCTGCCATATGGTGGAGGGTTGCTTGTCGCCCACTCTCTCCACCATTTGATAGTTGCTTCCCCAGTCCACTAGGGACAGGGCTGGAAAGAGCCTTTCTCCTCCAACTTCTGGCAGGAAAATCAGGTCAGCTCCTAGCACTCTTCCAGGCTGGTACGTTCGGGGAATTGCAGCTGGTCTGGTCGCCTTGGGTTTGGCTCTGGCTTGACAGCTTGGACATTCGAATTCTTTGTACGCCCATCTGATCACTTCTCCCTTCACTCTTGCTGCTCTCATGAATCTCACAAACTCGGCTTTCTGTGGATGTCCGAGTCCTCGATGCAGCTTCATTATCGACTTCTTTTCGTCTTCGGTCACCTTGTACCTTTGCTCTTCTTCTCCTCTCAGCTGCCTCCTTTGTTCTCTTTCCATTTCCTTCTCCATCTCTTTGTCCAGACCTTCTTCTAGGTCTGACTCAGCTTCTTCCTCTTCTTGTGCGAGGATGTCTTCTTCCATCATCCATATCTTTCTTCAATGCCTTCATCCTTGAGCATCTCTGTCTCTTCAATCCTTGGATGACTTCCTTGCAGAAGGCTTCCGGGTACTTCTGAGCTTTCTTTGGGAGGCCGCACATGGTGGGGACGTGGAAGTGTGAGTGGTCGCAAACCTTACTCATCCTCCTTGCGATCTCCTCGGAATTGCACAGGAGTTTGGTTGGCTTCTTGTTCAGGCCTTTTCCTGACACATTCATACCAAACATGCACATGTCCAGTCTCACTTCTTCCACTCCTTCCAATCTCTTCACTTCTTCCACCACGTCTTCTTCCCAGGACAGAGCATAGGCTGGGTGCTCAAAGAGAAAGTACTTTCCCCTTCTATGCTGCCACCGGGCTATTGCCATGGCTAATTCCAAGTGCTCAACTCCAAGACACAGTAGCCAACAGGCTTCTTCGAACGTCATCTTGGGGTAGTTCAGGTGTTGCACTATGGTGAACGCAGTGCAGGGTGGACACAAAATGATGAGCAATGGATCTTCTTCTTTGAGTCTTTTCCACATCTTTCTTCTTTGACCCGCGTGACTTAGGTCCCATCCTGTCAACAAATCGAAAGATGTGCCAGCCTTCATTCTTTGGTCTTCCTTTGCCTTTGGAGCAATCCTTGGTGGAGAGAACACTTCGCTCACTACTTGCAGCCCTTTCATCACTTCTTTTCTTTGTCTTCGGTTGAATTGCTTTTCTTTTCTGCGATCTCCTCCTTTTGGTTGAGACGGGACTTCACTCTGACTGGCCTTTCTTCTTGCAGGGATACTAGGCCTTCTTCTTCTTCTTCTTTCCATCCTTCTTCTCTTTGAAAAACTTCATAGGTCCTTGGCGCTTCTAGGAATGGATGGCTCTTTACTTGCATCTTCCTGAGGGCTTGTCTTCCTTTCTTTGAGTGAGCTTCTGCCAGACCATCTTCTAGTCGCTGTCTGGTACTGGGATCGTTTCTCCTCTGTTGGTCCTCTTCTCCAGCCTTGGACTTTTGCTCCTCCTTCCTCGATGGCTGCTCGAGGCTGTGCTTCCCAGCATCTGGAAGCTCATCTCGCTTGGGGCTTTGTCCTTGATTGCCTTCATGGGCTCCCTCTGAAAGAAGTCGCAATTGCCCCACTTGCACACCCAGAAGAACTTCTCTTCCAGGGTCCTCTCGTCTACTCGAGAGGCCTTCACGGCCATTTCGTTGCACAGGCATTGAGGTGTCTCCTCCTCCGGAAGCTTCCCTTGGGTCTTCTTCGCTGGTGCTTCGGCTCCTTGAATCACTCCCTTCTGAATCATCTCCTGGAGCTCGTGCTTCTGGGTCTTCAATGCCCTCATCATCGCTTCGATGTGGACTTCTTTCTCCTGCAAGTCGACTCGCTGCCGTCGCAGTTCTTGCCACATCTCTGCTTGTTCTTTCTCCGACACTTCCTTCTCCTTGGCGGGGACTTTCACTTCCTGTTCCGTCCTGGCTTCTTCCATCTTTTGACTCAAGAGGCCCTTCTTTCCCTTCTTCAAGTCTTCTTTGATGTCTGCCGCCGTCAACGGAGATTCCCATCTGCAGTGGCACATCTTGCAATAGATGTAAGAAGCGCTCTTGTTCCCTCCGCCCTTCAACTGCGCCTTGGGGTGTACGCAGGTGCTCATGGAGACCGTCGGAGCTTCTTTTGACTTCAAGGGGTGCAAAACCTTGGCATTGATGATGATCTTCTGATAGCAGGCTTCCAAACTGTCTTCCTCCTTTGACTGCAGCATAGATGGCCCCGAAAGAGAGTGCAACTCGGGTAGCCATTCTTGGATGAGCTGCTGCCGTTCCACGAAGGCCAGGAGAGTGAACAGCTTGTCCAACAGCACTCGCCAGTTCCTCACTGCCATCTTTGGTTTCCTGGCGTAGCTTTTCATCTTGACGTCTTTCACCTTTTCTTCCTCTCTCGAGGTCAGCAGCCTGCCCACTCGCTCCACCAAGCCCGACATGTTCTTCACCGAAGCGCGAGTGAGGTCGTCTCAAAGGTGGGCAAAGCTTCTGAATCTTGTTCACGAATTGAGCCAGCATGGCTCGGTTGTGAACTTCTTTCTCAACAAAATCATTGCTTGAAAAGGGTGCTGTTGAAGGAACTGCAAATCCGGATGGTTGAAATTGCAAAACATCAATGGTGACATGCCCGCTGGGAAGCTCATGTAAAGGAATGTGCAACTCTTCATCTGGCAAAATGAACTTGTACTGATTGAAATCGACGATGGCTTTCAAATTCTTCATGAGCTTCACTGGCAAAAGTAAAGGAACTTCCCCTTCGACCACCGTGGCTTCCAAAACACCATTCAGGCCTCCAATCCCAATGGGGATTAAGACCACTCCCAAGACCTTGGCCTGTCCTCCTACTCCTTTTGCTAAAGACCTTTTGGGAATCCACTTCACCTTCAAACCAATGTCTTTGAGGCGACTTTCCAAACGATGAAGTGCAAAAGAACCGACTAAACCTCCTTCGGCTGCTGTGTCTACTACTCCATACTCTGAACCGGTGACTATGCCACAAAACTGTTCTGACTGAGTTGAAGCGGCCTTATACTCGGACACGGCGTCGGAGTCTGGATCTGTGAGACTGACTTCTCGGGAAGCTCTTCTTTCTTCCACAAATTTCCTCAACCAAAAAGCATCTGTGCTGGTTGAGGGCTCAAAAGGAGAATCTTCGGGAATGGCCGGTTAGGCCTCGTCCCGGACCACAAAGAAACCTGTTCGTGTAGAAGTGCTCGAAGAATTGTTTCCGGACTGAGAGCTCGAGCTTGTTTTCTTGTCCAAAGGTGGATTGGTACACTCTCGACTGATGTGCCCAATTGCTCCACATCTCCAGCACCGGGTTCGGAGCTTGAGTTGCTCCACATGGACCCTTTGCTTGCCTTTTCCCTTTCCTTTTTGCCATGAGCGATCGTTGCCATGACCTTTTCCTTTGAAGTGGTCGCGGCCATAGTAGCCTCGACCGTTCCGCTGATTCCTCAAAGCTTCCCTCACTTCTTTGTAGCTCGCTAGAGCTTCCAGCATCTCGGACTCGGAATAAACCGCGTCCAAATCGCCTTCGGCCACGAACACATAGTCCTCTCCTTCATTTTCTTCATCTTCATCCATTTGCAGGAAAGCATCATTCATCGAGGTTTTGATCTTCTTCGGCCCAAAAGTTGCTTTTCGCGTTCTTGTCTTTCACGACCTTGTCCAGCTTCCTCAATGCTTTCACTATCGACGATTTGTCATAGTGCCCATCGCACCAAGTCAGGAGGCGTTGCTCGTGCGCTTCACTTAGCGAAGCCTGGCGGTACATGATGTACCCACTTGCACCTTCCAGCAGCTCTACCCCTTCCTTGCTCAATCGATGGAATGCTCGCTCCATTCTGGCGATGTACTCAGGAAAGGATTCTGCCGACTGTCGAGGCTTGCCGTAAACAGCAGCCTCGAAAGCTCGAGGTAAACTCACCTCGAGATGTGGAAGGAAAAATTCCTTCAGCCTGCTCATGATGTTCCGAACCCCATCTTCACTTGCTATGTCCTCAAACTCCAGGTGTTCGACGGCTAAGGCGGCCATGCCTGACAAAGACCTAAGCAGCTTAGCTCCTTGCTTCCGCTTTGGGGATGTCAGTTTCATAGCACCACAAACGAACGCTTTTCTCGAAGTTCTTGAACGTGCTTTCAGGTTCCACTCCATCATATGCAGGGGGGGGATCTCTATCCCTTGGACCATCTCTCTCTCTCTCTCACCAAAGCATCTGCCGCCGTCGAAAAGGCACGTTGACTCCTCGAGGCTCTTGCAGGCACCTCCTCTTCGTCTTCAGCGGAGCTCGGCATCCCTGGACCTCTCCCAGGCTCCGCTACCACTGTGAGTGGCAGCGGAGCTCTGGGAGGGCCGCAAGAGACTCTTTCACTCGACCATGGAACGTCGAAAAGGTGCGTGCCTAAACCAGGGCCCCTGCAGTTCGAGAGGTCATGCCGCACACATATGGAGTCAATCCACACCCAACATGGACATCATGTTTACACATTTATATATATATATAGTACACGTACATTGCGTAGATACGTCCGTGGGGAAACCGAAAAACAAAATCACAAACAGACACCATTTTTCCTCATGTCGGAGCATGCACGTGCGGCGTTGAGAGTAAGGAGTCCCACCACCATGAAGTTGCACTCCGCGCCGCACAAGAGCGGCCCGGAGAGGGCACCGCCCTGGCAAATTAGCTGGCCGAAGGTCAGGTGAGCCATCGGGAGTCGTCGGTGGAGAAGACAGGGAAAAAGGAAGAGGAGTTGGGGAAATGGTCGCGCAGAGTGTTTCTCTGACGCGCCACCATATAAACACAGAAGGGGAAAGCGCAAGGAACACCACGAAGCAAATTGTGCAACGCAAGCCGGGCCACATAACTTGCATTTTTTTGCTACGCCAACAGCGGACCTGGTTGTGAGGCCATTTTGGAGTTTGCATGTCAGGGGAGTTGCCCCACGGGAGGTCATTGTAGAGCTATCACAAAGCAACGTGCACACTCGCATTGTTTGGTGAATTGATGTTAGTGTTACAGTAATTGGGTGTTTGAAGGCTTGGCAACTGCCGAAAAGTTACCGGACCTGGGCGGGTAGGGGCGCATTTGGTAAGTGCTCCACATCAGTCTGCCTCAAAAACTCTCTCGGCAACTCAACAGCATAACGCCCAGATTTTTAAAGCTCAACTGGTCCGAATCTAAGCTCCACAAAAGTGCCAAATCCAAACCCTGCCCGACCCTTGGGACCCAGATGTCACGGCCGATGTTGCCTTGACTAGCCCCGAAGCAGCCCAGGCATTTGGGTTTGGGTGTCTAACTGCGGGTCTCAAATCTCAGTTAAAAGCATTAAAACGACAATAAAGCATGGAAATCACAACTTTTTCCAGCCGCGTGACCCATATCCAAAACGGGAATACTCATGGCCCTGAAGCCCAACTGGACACTCCTTTGAAACTCCATTTATCGCTGGCTCAGCGCCGATCCAAGCGCACCAAGAGAGCAGCGCTGTGATGAAAGTCAATTTTAAAAACAAAAATCATCAAAAATCACAACCCTTTCCGCAACGTTACCCGTATCCTCTCATTCCACACCAATTCCGCAACAATCTTCCTGAAATGTTTTTCGGTAGCCACACCACTTCAATTCATGGAAATCACAACCTTTCTGTCTATGAGACAACACACTGGCTCTCCAAGCGATCTGTCGATATGGATTTTCCCCCTTTTTCATTTGCCTAGGCTTATGGGCCCCACACTATCAAAGCGCACAACCTATTGCCTATTCTTTGGCGCTCCCCCTCGCAACCTTGCAACGGGGTCAGCAGATTCTTTGAGCCTACGCAAGAATCTTACATCTTTCCGGCGTCAAACCTCCCCAAAAACCTCCACAGACTCAAAAACTAAGCATGCTCAATGGCTTACCTCCGCAAAACCTGAATAGGCTCAAATATGGTCTCAAGAAAGGTCCTGAAACTATTCATGTCCAATCGCCTCTTACTTCAGGAGTTCAATTCAGTTGTGTCAAGTTTATTGGCGTCGATGAAGTCTGATTGTGCTTCTATACTTTGACATGCTTGCCCCTGGGCCAAAATGTGCATAAAACGATGTAAATAGCAGCGGTGATGTTGCATGAAAGGTAGGTCCATGGAGGGCACCGCGTCCAGAAGCCAAATACAGGTCTCAAGAGCTTTGTTGGTGCAGGCCTATGCTTCTGCTGTTCCACTCCCATTGGACGAAGAATCGGATCTTGACATGTACGCTGCGTTTGGTTCCCAGACCGCTTCACATGACGAGACGTGATGAATGTGCACAGAAGCATTCAAGGCCTGGCGAATAATGTGAATAGGGCCTTTGCCCCAGAGATGTTCTGGATCAAGACTATCAAGAAGCGAAACAGGTTTGCCATGTGATTCTGGTATTAAGAGATCACAGAAGGTGAAATTGCTAGCTTTTCTTGAGGAGCTCGAGATGATGTTGATTCCTTAATGCAGGCTTTGAACACAGGCGTGTTGGTCTAGAAGGTTAGGGTTTGCAGATTTGCAGGCAGGACTTTTTAAGATTGTGCTGACATGTGGGCGAATGCACTGCGCAAGACATGTCATGCTTCGTCGGCAAAGCCATTCCGGCAGACTGTCCATAGACCTGTATGGCTTGGAGTGGCACAGGCTCGATCAACAGAATTCCTTGCTCAAATTGATGTTGCCACTTTCAGCTATATTCTCAACAGCTGTGGCTTTTCTCAAAGAGAGAAGAACAGTTTGAAGATGCTTGCAGCATCAGAGCTTGATGCCGTGCCAAAGAAAGTGAATCCCGGAGTATTCTGCGCGATGTTAAATTGTTCTTCTGTGTTTGTTTTTTCCGGAGTATGTTCTGTTGATGTACGTTGTTTGATGTTGTTTGCATTGCATGTCTTGACCTGTTTTCCCACTAGGCTGTATGCTATATATATATAATCATCCTGGAGTAGATAGAATCTCTTTCGTAGGGGGTGTTTTTCTTTTTGAAAAAACTCAGGGTTTTTGACATCCCTTTCATTTTATGAAGACTGACCCTATAGATAGAATATAGTGATAAGATTCTTATCAACTCCTCCCATTCTGGTATTTGCTCCTTTGTTATTCTCATGTTGTGTTCCTATGTGTATTATCTAAGCTTTCCTTTCCTTTTTTCTTTTCTTTAGAACGAACAGAGAATAGAACGACCAGAGAAGGAAAAGGACAACAAAGGAAAAGGAAGAGAAGCCCCTACAACCATATTCTATCTATGGGGTTTGGAAGGGCCGGTTTTGAGGAGTGAATTGTTTTTTGAAAATTCATCCATTCTATCTACTCCAGGATGATTATATATATATATATATTATATATGACAACATGTGACAGGATTCCCTAAGGTCAGTCTTGTGTGCATGACACGCACAAAACGAGAAACACTTTCGCTGGCCGAAACAGGCCCAAGCCCTAGTGGAAAAGATCGCTTTCCCGTTTTCATGGTAGCGGAGCCCTGGCCGTAAGAGCCGGGGCTCCCTACCCACGCTGCACCACGAGCACCACGATCCCGAGACGGGCACGGACGGCATCCCCGTCGATTACATCCTTGTGGATTTTGGAGTTGGTGATTTTGGCAGGCCTAGCTGGTGGCCTGGGAAGTTCGGCTCGACAGGAGATCCACTACTACCAGGGCGGATCCATTGTCCCCAAGGAAGGCAAGGTCAAGTTCCGGCAGATTCACACCTTGTGCGTCCAGACCGAGACCTACGCTGGACGAATCAGGTGGGCAAGAAGCGAGAAAGCCCTGAGAGTGAGTTTGGTGGTGAAGTGGAAGCAGAACGAGAACGAAGTGAAGGAGGTGACCGTGGTGGTGCCTAGCAAGTGGCGCTTCATCCAGAAGGTCGAGTACCTGAAAGAAACCACAGAAGAGGAAGACCTGGAGGTGCTAGTGAGCAACTGCCGGTTCTGGGAGATCATCACCCATAGTGGGTTGGAGTTTGGAGTGATAGGAGAAGGGGAAGCAGGCGTCGTGACCAAGACCGACTACCCGAAGGTTGGCCCTCTGGCTATAATGGCCGATGAGAGCCTGAGGTTGGTGGCAGCCGCATTGGAGCGGCTGACTTCGAATCAGGCAGCGCAGGGTTGGCCTGGAGAATCGTTCCAGGGTCAAATCCCCACGATTTGGCCGTATCA